TCAGCCCTAAGTGAGCCCAAATGCATTTAAGCTAATGCCTATCTTTAAGTAAGTGTTCTACTGAATAGGAATGGGATTACCATCCCACACATCTATGAGACTTGCTGACTTGGGACCAAAGTGCTGACCAATATGGCAAGGAAGCAAACAAAAAAGAATACAGAAATATTTTTCTCTCTATAGTCATTTTTCAGCTATAGGAACCTGGTAAAAAGGTTTCAATCAACAATGTGTATTGCTGACATATTTAAATTAATCAATAAGGAAACAGTTATATAGTTTCACCTACATGCACTTCTCCAAACTATTAAAAGAATTCGATTAAACAGAAGCCCAAAGTACCAAATGGCAGCATTTGTAAAAAGGAAAGTTATTTTTCAGAGGGTGTGACTACTTTTCCATAGCTCCTTGTAGACATTTAAACAGCAGTTTGTTATGTGAAATTACATGGCTTGCACCATATGGTCTTACTGCAAACCAGCTTCAGGCTTTGGCTCTGTAGTTAGACATATACATATGTAGTGGGCAAACTGAGTTATGTTACGGCTCTCGGCCATAGTTTAGGCCTGCCCGGAACTAAGCAATTGAATTGTACAGAGTGCCTTATGGGAAACATGAGTGCTGTGATTGGTACGGTGGGTTAACCAGGTACAGTAGTTTCCCTGAAAGGAAAGGAAACCAAAAACAGAACAGGATTGGAGTACCTCATCTAAAAAGATGAGAAAGAAACTTGAGGATTGAACAATTTGAGGTGAAGAAGTTACATAAGTAGTGGACAAACACAGAGACAGCGTGTGTTTTGTGTTGCCACCCTGGGGAGACGGGAGCAACCTGGAATTCTTGTTCGAACAACGAGGATTCCAGAAACCAGCATCCCCCACACCCAGCAGAGGATCTGAGGCCGCAGTTGTAACGTCTGAAGAAACCACTTGCCAGGTCGTATTACAGAGAGGAAACTTATAATAAAACATAGGAGTTACTAATAAAGTACACTTGATACCAAATCAGATGAAGGGCCATGTCAATCCTTGGGCATCTCTGGTAAAAGGAATCCTAGTGGCAACAACATAGATGTAAAGGATAATCTCTTAAAAATTGATTTGCCTTTGAATCACCACATGGCTTATAAAACATACTGCAAGATTTAAAAAGACTTGAAATTTATAGGCAAACTGAAATACTTGCTTACAGAATACATATAAGTGTTTGCCTATTCAGGTTCCTTTCCCCAGAGGTAAAAGCATGATCTCACATTGGTGCTCTAAGGTACCTTGCTGTTTCTGAAACTGTGCTTGTGAGCAAGTGACCATATGTGTATCACCATACGAAAATGATGCAAGATCAGGCACCTAATACGAAATCCTTCCCCCCAGTGAAACCAATAAGTATGTTACCACTGACTTCAATGGAACTAGGGTTTCACCTCTGGCATCAATACACCTCAGTTCTAACCTACAGCAGCTTCTTCTTCTCTCTCTCTCTCAGCTGATTGCAGGTCTCTTCTGAGCAGAGACAGACAGCCAGGCTGAATTACTACAGGCTTTGTACTGTGGTCGATTTGCTGGAGACTAGATGAGATACCTCTAAATGTAACACAATTAAAGTGGCTTTCTAGAGGTGAAGAGCTAACTCCCTATTTTCCCTTTCATTGATTTAAGTGCTCCACAGATATCTCATACTGAAAATTAACCATTTAAAAATCAAGATCGTATAGGTGTAGTTATCTGTAGAAAAACAGAGCGGGATTAGAGGGTATAGAAATTCTGACTTTTCAACATTTGAACCAGAATCTGATTTGAGCCATCAGAATCTGGCTGTATACAGATAATTCAATTTTAGGGCAAAATTATCCTTGAATCCTGTTCAATAAACAATCTCAGCTTTGTTGCTATAACTATGATATTGTTGACTGAATGCAGCGGATACCTTTTATAATTCCTTATTCACCCAGCTCCTGAAACATCAAATCATCTACATGACATACGCACATGCTGGATGCTGCTTAGTTTGTCATAATGTATAATTTCTCAAGTAGCACAGCTTTAGATGATCTGCACTACTGAATCCCAAAAAATGCAATCTGCTTTGTCCTTATTTAAGGACTACATCTGAGAATACGCGTGTGAATATCAGTAAATATGATTGTTTGTTTATATTTTAATGCAACATTTGGTTTTTGAGTCTGCAGAAAGCATATCTTTAGATAATGTACAATATTAAAGTCATTTAAACAGCTTGTGAAGCTTTTTTCAAGTGTACATGCCAAAGTCAATATCCCACCAGTTAAATAATGCATTTTATAATTATAGCAAATATTTAACTTTCAAACAAACATCCTTTTGCTCTCTCGGAATCAACAGCAGCAGTTAACATGATGGTTCACAATTAATAAGGGCTCAGGAGAAAACCCCACACAATCACTACTTTTCATCTGCATATTTATGAAATGTCATCAATTATTCATGAAATATTTACTACTGGGAGTGGTGAATATGGCAATCATCCCTGTTGGAGAGGCAGTCAGTCCTTTTTAAAATGTTATGAGCAGCATAATTTAAAACTGTTGTAAGGAAATTAAGGGACATTTTAGGACTTGATTGTTCTGTATGAAACTATTGCTTTCAATTAACTAAACTAGCTTACCTAATTGGCCACCTCCACATACACCTTTCCCGTAGACACAAAGACACAGAGCCATAGCATGATTCATCCTGCAATCCCCCAGAGATACCAAATCTTACAGAAACCTCTCTCTGATGCAGTAGTTACCTAGCAGCACAACCTAGCAACCCTGGAGTTTGAGATTAATCCCAGAGTGATAATCCTAAAGTAATATCTAAAAGACATTTTGTTTCAAGTCTGCCATCCAAAGGTATATAAATAAGTGCAACATAAAATGTTCTGGCTTCTAAACTATTCAGCCATACAAATTAGAAATGGCTACATGATAGTATGACAAGCTATTTGTCTCTCAGAAAGGCCTTATTTGCTCAAGCTCTCTCAACACAGATACAAAAGACTGGAACTATACATGACTTAGATCTTTCAATTCATCATTTAGGCTTTGAGACTTCAGAAACTCTGCTCAGATGTCATCTAATTCCCCTCACTAGATGTCTGCTGGTGTATGGGTGCAAAATCCTCAAGTTCTGATACTGCTGAATTACTCAGAGCCTTACCTCATGCCTAAATCCTAGCAGCCATTCTCCTACCACCTACACTTGCAGGAACCAATCCACTAGCTGTTCCACTACCCTGACCAAATAGAGCCATGTACAAAAAAAAAAAACTGGAGAAAAGCAAAAACATATCCATCCATCCCCATTATTCCCAGTGGTTAGAGCATTTATCTAGGAAGCTCTCTCCCTGAGCTGTTGCAAAGATTTGAACCCAGGTCTCTCGCATCCCAAAAGAGTAACCTAATCACTGACCTAGGTGGCTTTCTGGGATAGATGTCTCCCAGTCTCTCCCGCTGAAGTTATCCCACACCATGTAAATACCTGCCTGGGAATTAGGGCACTATTAGCTATTTAAAAGTTAGATGTTACAATGCTGAATTACATCCCTTTCTGCCCCTTGCCTAATTTCACTGTTAAATATGAGTGTATAATTGGCTTTAATTTCAGTGGAGCTGTCTCTATAGTTATAAGAATAGGCTTGGGCCCCAAACACCTTCACTATCACTGTTCATGCTGGTTGTTGTGTTTTAGGCTTCATGTCAAGTTTTTAATACTGTTCTGATAATAAATCTATCTTTTCTTCCTTTCAAAAGAACCATAAAAATCACATTTGACTTAATTTCAGGGTTGACCCATAATCTGGTGCCCTACAGCAAAGGTAGGCAACCCCTGGCACAGGTGACAGAGCATGGCATGCAAAGGCATTATGTTTGGCAGGTGTACCTTGGAGCAGACTGCAGGGAAGGGGCTTCAGCAGTACTGCCACAACAGGGATTGGGCCCTTTGCAGCTCCCTGGCTGTCCACCCCTAGCACGCCAACATCTTACGAGTCAAGGTTGCGGGTGTTTTTGGCACTCTAACCAAAAATGTTGCCAACACCTGCCCTACAGTCTGGATTTTTGTACTTACAGTATTCTTGTGCATGCAACAGAAATACCACATCAAAATTTTTTTCAGTGTACTTCTTATTTTAGTGTTTTTAATGCATATAACCCTTTGGCTCTTTTCCTTCATTATCTGATTCTCCTGTGGGACTTAAAGACAATAGCAGTCTCAGGTCTTTGTATATAATTATCACTTGTATCCAGAGAAAAAGCTTTTTTTTCTAAACTTGAAGCTGAAAAATATGAAGCCAATTTATACACAGGGTTGACTTTAAAAGATATGTATGTTCATTTGGTGTACCCATGTAACTCATTATTTTAATGAGTTAAACATGAACTTTGCAAAGATAATGTGCTCCTTTATTTCTGCTCCTCCTTTCCTACAAACCAAATCTTAATCTTCCAGATGCATTTCTTCTGTGTCCAAAATACTGCCATCACCTGCTGTATATTTTAAAATGCTGAGTAAATGTACTGCTTGTGTAAAGTGAAAGACTGGAAACCCAAGTTTTCTGTTTATAGACAAAGGAGGTATAGGAGTGTCCATTACAGAGCAAGCTTTACCACTCCATCTTGCTAATGTGGATCAAGGCACCCACCCTTCTAAAGGGAAGAGTAGTTCAGTCTTTCCAATTACAATGTTGGTCTCCATCTCAGATGAACTGCAAAGGGAATAACGTAATGTGCACCCATTTTCACCAAGACTCTCACTCAACTGCCACCGGAAGATAACAGTTTTCATACATCACCTTTCTGTGGGATAAGTTTGAAGTAGTATGTTGATGGAAAAGACCTCTCTTATATTTCTCTGCTCCACCAAGGCACAAGGTAGATACAAACTCAACAACAAGGAATGACACAAAGAAAAGAAGACTGGACTGCATTGTATATGCTTTGGTAAATGTAGTTATTACCAGAACAGATAGCAAATGCTTACCTTAAACCTTTCTGAGACTCCTTCAGTTATGCTGATTGTGAATTCAGCTATTTTTGGAGTACGGAATTTTCCTTTCTTGCGATCAGGCTCATATTCTGTTTTCGTTTTGACCACAACCTTTTCAAAAGCAATAACAAAGCTGTTACTATTTTGTAAACCACATGCTACAGTTTATTTGCCTAAACTGGGCTAACCCAGATGTCGATAGAGGCGTTTTTTACTTACGGAAAAGTTTAA